GGGGGACAGCAATAGGATTGGGGATACAGAAGGATGTGGGGTTACCGACATGGGATTTGAGGTGTGCAGCTCTGGGATTGGGGTTACAGGGGGATGTGGGGTGTTGACATGGGATTTGGGGTGTTCAACTCTAGGATTGGGGTACAGGAGGACAGCCATGGGATTGGAGCTGTGGGGGGGCTGACATGAGATTTGGGGTGTGCAGCTGTGGGATTGGGGTGCACGGGGAGATGTGAGGGTGCTGGCATGGGATTTGGGGTGCGTGGAGGGGTTGCAGCTCTGGGACTGGGATACACAAGGGGATGTGGAGGTGCTGACATGGGATTGGGGTTCAGAGGGCTGTACAAGGAGGGTACAGCCCCCTGTTTTGGGGTGCAGGGGGATGGACGTGTGCTCCACAGCCATTTCCGGGAGGCTGTGCCTTGCCGTAGCCACGTGGCAGCACCAGACAGGTTTCATTAATTAGCAACTGCAGATGAGGAGAGTTTTACTGCCCCGGGAGCATCGCTGGCAGACACACTTCTTTCCTTTTTCCTTTTCTTTGCTTTTGCAGACTCAGCTTCAACCCTGAAAACATAATCCCAAATTAGTTTGGTTCTCCTCCCAAGGTTGGGGGTCCCTATGGGTGCCCCACTAGGTGGTATTGCCTTATTCCCCCCTCTCCCATCAGCACAGGGCTTTGGCCATGACGGAGGCTGTGGGAGCAAAGCCTAAACGCATCCTGGTGACGGGGGGCACTGGTTTGGTGGGCAGAGCCATCCAGGAGGTGGTGGCCAATGGTGAGGGGCAGACGGATGAGGAGTGGGTCTTCGTGTCCTCCAGAGACGCCGACTTGACGTGAGTCCAACCCCAGCAATCCATTTCTTTTGCCCTACAACATACTAATGGAATGGGTTGGGATGGAATGGACTCTAAAGATCATAGAATCCTAGAATGGCTTGGGTTGGAAGGATTGCTAAAGGTCATTAAGCCATAGAATGGTTGTGTTAGATGGGATATTAAATATCTTAGAACCATAGGATGGTTCTGTGTCTCTGGAGGTCTTCAAGAAAAGGGTAGATGTGGCACTTGGGGACATAGTTTGGTGGGTATGGTGGGGTGGGAAGACGGTTGGACTTGATAACCTTGGGGGTCTTTTCCAAGTTGAATGATTCTATGGCTTGAGTTGGAGAGGCTCTTAAAAATCATAGTAACATAGGATGGCAGGGTTGGGAGGGTCCTTAAGGATCACAGAACCATAGACTGATTGGGTTAGAAGGAGCCTTAAAGACCACAGAGACACAGAATTGCATGTTTTATATGTGGCCCCCAAGGCAATTCCTCTTCACTCAGTGCAAACCAAGCAAACCAACAGTTTGGACACTGATGCAGTAAACCCCATGACTTCCTCCCTCTAGGAGTGCTGTGGAGACCAAAGCTCTCTTTGAGAAACATAAACCCACCCATGTCATCCACCTGGCTGCTATGGTTGGGGGCCTCTTCAAAAACATCCGTTGCAACCTGGATTTTTGGGTGAGCAGCAGGGCGAGTGGGTCCTGCAGAACCTTGCCCTCTCTGAGCTTACTGTGGTTTCTGCAGTCATTAATGAGTCATCACCATGGGGTGCAGGGTTTGGTGGTTCCACCACCCTTTTGTGGGTGACACTGACAGATGTCTCTGTGTCCCCAGAGGAGGAACATCCACATCAATGACAATGTCCTGCATTCTGCTTATGAGTGTGGGGTGCAGAAAGTGGTCTCCTGCCTCTCCACGTGTATCTTCCCGGACAAGACAACATATCCCATTGATGAGACCATGGTGAGCATCTCTGTTTCCATTTGCAGGGACACAGCTGGGTCCTAATCTGGCCAATCTGATTCCATCCTTTATCCAACCTATCCGTGGGCAAAGCATAACCTTGAACCTCCCCAAGATGTTCAAACCACACCACCTCCTCGTGTCCAAAATCTTGCATTGAGTTACTCTACGTGGTCTGTGCTGGATTCACATTGTGTCTCTTGTCTCCAGATCCACAACGGGCCACCACACAGCTCCAATTTTGGCTACTCCTATGCCAAGAGGATGATCGATGTCCAGAACAGGTGTGAGGGCCATGTGAGAACCATCCTGGTGTAAGAGGGCTGTGAGCATCCCAGAACTATTGGGGAAAAGGGAAACTCCAGGGCTGACAGCACCTAAATGGGGATGGGGAGATACCCAGCCTTGGCAACCAAGAGATGCCATACCAAGTTAGGGACTCTCTGTGGGTTGTTTTGTGCTGGGACAGGGGGTGACCCCACAACTGAGAGAACCATTTGAGTGGGAAGGAACTCACCCAGCCCATGCTGTCACCCAGGGGTTACTTTGAGCAGCATGGCTGCCGTTTCACCGCCGTCATCCCCACCAACGTCTTTGGGCCACACGACAACTTCAACATTGAGGATGGCCACGTGCTACCAGGGCTCATCCATAAGGTGTATCTGGCCAAACGTGAGTATGATAGATAGGGCATATTATGGTTTGGGTATTTTCTTTCTGGTAGGGTTGCTCATGAATGCTCTTTCCATTTCCCCCATAGAGAATGGCTCTGCTCTGACCGTATGGGGCACAGGCAAGCCCCGAAGGCAGTTTATCTACTCTTTGGTATGTGTGGCCTTGGGGAGCACTTGGAGGGGTGACATGAGGGGCTGGGGGACCTCAGCGCAGGCTGAGCCCTCCTGGGTTGTCCTGGGCAGCACTGATCCTCAGGGCCTGGGGTCCTCCAAGAGCCATCTGCTCCTCTGTAGGATCTGGCCCGGCTCTTCATTTGGGTTCTACGGGAATACGAGGAGGTGGAGCCCATCATCTTGTCAGGTAAGGACAAAATTCCAAGAGGAAGAGGGAAAGGGGGAAACAATGACCTCAGCTCACCACCATCTCCGCAGTGGGAGAAGAAGATGAAGTCTCCATCAGAGAGGCTGCAGAGGCAATCGTGGAGGCCATGGACTTCAGGGGAGAGCTCATTGTATCCTTTAGTATAGGGCAGATTGGAAAAGACCTCCAAGATCATCAAGTCCAATCATTAACCCAACTCCACCATGCTCACTCATAGAATCATTAAGGTTGAAAAAGACCTCTGAGATCATCGAGTCCAAACGTCAACCCATGTTTGACCAAGCTTTCCTAATATCCAACCCGAATCTTGAGGTCATTACCTCTCACCCTATTGCCAAGCTGTGGGGCAGAATACAGCCTCACCACCTCAGCCTCCCTGCTTTCCCATTTCCCTTAATCCCTCCCACTCCAGTTCGACACAACCAAGGCCGATGGGCAGTTCAAGAAGACAGCCAGCAACGCCAAGCTCAGGCACTACCTCCCCAACTTCCAGTTCACACCCTTCAGACAAGGTGAGAAGGGGTCACACCAATGCATGGGTGTCCCCCCGTTCTCCCCGTCTCAAACCTTTCTAATGGCACCTCTCTGTTCCCAGCTGTGAAGGAGACTTGCACCTGGTTCAGCACCAACTACACCAGTGCTAGGAAGTGATGGAGCGGTGCACACGCGTCCTCTTTAACTCAGGGTTGTCCTTTGCTGGGGCAGAGGATGGGGTGTGGGGGCTGACAGCGATATTTCCAAAGCAAATGGGTGCCAGGATCCTGGGTACGCTTGAGGGTGTGCGAGGAGAGGGGGAAAATATTGTGAAAAATCATCAAGTAGCATCTTATGTAGAAGAGACCCTGATCAGGTAACACTCCTTTCCTACCTGCTGTAGGGTGCAGACCCCACCGAGGGCTTTGGGTGGCATATTGGGGGTCCCAAAGGTGCTGCTGTCCCCAGAGAGATCCCAAATGGGACAGGAGCAGCAGACACTATGGTTGAATTGATCACAATCATCCCTGGGGCATGGGCTGGCAGCTCTTATAATGGACTACACTACTAATTACACATAATTAGGTTGTAATAAAGAAGCTGATTGAGGCTGTTGCTGCAGCACAGGAATCACAGATGACTGTTTGGTGTTGCTTTCGGTGCATGGGGAAACGGAGCTGCATGGGGACTGTCCCATAGCTTCCAGCAAAGCATCTCTTAGAGGGACCAAAACCACTGCCTGGTCCTGGTGAGCCCCTGCCTTGGGGACAGCAAGGACCTATGGAGTAGACACCCATCATCACTGCAGTCTGAAATTGTCACCACCCATTAGAGTGCAATGGGGAATTATGGAGGAGATCTCCATTACGACCCCAAGATGCCTTCAACTATTAGAGTGGCTGTTCCCAAACTATCAGGTCACCGGTGGTGCTCTTTGAGTGACACCAACCCCAATATTTCCCACGTTGTCCATCACTGTCCAAGAATTGGTTTGGGTTGTAGGGTTTGGGTTCACAGCATTGCCCAGCTCCTACACCTGTTTCCAGCATCACCTGGTTGGGTAAAAAAGGGGTTTGGCAGAGCACAGAAGTGTACCCCTCCACCCAGAAGTCCTTCCTGGGCACATGCTCCAGGACCAGGACCTCTCCCAGTGGACCATCACAGAGACAACACCTATTCCTAGAAGACCTACAATTCTATGACCTGCCCTAAACAGGGATCCAGCTAGTTCCAAGGAGCAGGACCCACCCTACACCTACCCCTGGCTCAAGCTTACCCCATGCAGACTTCTGATGGTCACTTTGCCCAGCTGCCTTTTCCCCAAGCTCAGCTTTGTCCTCCCAAGGGCATCAGGAAATGGTGACATCCATCCTGCTAAGCAAGGCTCCCCTACCATCACTGGGACCGCTCCAGGTATGAAGGCAATGCAAAACACAGCGTGGGTGCTGATGTGTTCTACCTATGTATACAATGGGGACACTCTGGGGTAGCACAGATACCCCAGCAAGGCATGGGGACATGCTGGGATTGGATAGGAACACCTTAGGATTTCTGACCTCCATCCTACAGCCACCCTGTGATCATCCCTCCCAAGTCACCCCACTTCCAAGCCACCATTCCCAACCCACCCTCAGACCTCTCTGGGGTGGAGGTGAAATGCCACAATGCCAAATTCAAGGCAACATTTAGCAGACCTCTCCCAGTCAGAGGACAGACACTCTCTGCTGCCAGCCCAACCCCCTCATCCCCATAGGATTCCAGGCTACAGGGCTGCATGGATATGGAGGGGGTGCCCTATAGGAAGAAAAAAAAAAGAGTGGAGAATACCCAAAAAGGTTGAGAAGCCCCTAACACAAATTCAAGA